CTGGAGCCTCAGCTTCAGGATCTGTCCTTCCAGTGATCACTCAGGGTGGATTCCCTTCAGAATGGATAGGTTTGTTCTCCTTGCAGTTCAGGGGACTCTCAAGAGTCTCCTCCATCACCTTCCGTGGTCCGCCTTCTTTATGGTCCAGCTCTCACTTCCATACACTGCTACTGGAAAAACCATAGCTTTGACGATGCGGACCTTTGACGGAAAGGCGATGTCTCTGCTTTTTAAGATGTTGTCTAGGTTTGTCACTGCTTTCCTCCCAAGAAACAGAAACCTTTTAATTTTGTGGCTGCTGTCCCCATCTGCAGTGATCACGGAGCCCAAGGAAGTAAGCTCTGTCACTGCCTCCATATCTTCCCCTTCTACAGGTATTTGCCAGGAGGTGATGGGACCAGTGGCCATGATCTTAGTTTTTTTAATGTTGAGCTTCAGACAATTTTTTGCGCTCTTTCACCCTCATTAAGAGGGTCTTTGATTCTTCCTCACTTTCTGCCATCAGAGTGGCGTTCAGATGAGACGCGAAGAGATCTATCATGGGCTATCCCCATCGTCGGCATATGTCCAGAAAAATTGCCTGGTTGAGGGCCCACTCGTGCATTCTGGTGGGCAGCCTGCTTAGGTGGTCAGCTAGGAAGTTGTCCCTGGACGCAATATGGATCGCTTCAGGGAAAATGTGGTGCATACGACACCATTCCCAGAAATGCATAGTTAGTTGAAGGAGGGGCCGGGATCGCGTTCTGCCCTGTCTGCTGATGTAGTGCATCACTGTGGTATTGTCTGTTACCAACTGTACTGCATGCCCCTTGATACGTGGCAGGAAGGCTTGGAAGCCTTTTATAGCAGCCAGTAGTTCGAACTGATTTATGTGAAGGGTCTTTTGATGTGTAGTCTGGCGGCCATGTACTCGTAACTCTTGGCAGTGCGCCCCCTGAATCTGGAGACATGCACATGATATCCTGAGCCATCTGGGCTGAAGGAATGTGCTCCTCAGTATCAGAGAGACCAATTCCTTCCTTCGAAGACTCCTCGAGTAATATCGAAGGAGCGGGAGGAGGCAAAGCAGGTAGCCTAGATGGCTTCTTCACTTTTTTAGGTTTGTTGTTGGGTTTTCTTTTTTGCAGAAATGGGGAGATGAGAAGGCACCTTGGCTTTAGGTGGTTTAGAGACCTCCTTGGACTTCACAGGTAAGGAGATGGTAAGAGCCACCTGTTCAGCAGGAGAAGTCACCTGTTTGGAGACCTCCGAACGCGGAGGAGTTGGTGCAGGGAGGGAAGAAACCTCCATAGTGGGAAGAAGAGTCTTTTCATAGAGGAAAGACCAGAGTCGTTGGCGCCTGAGCTTAATGGCTTGTTTAGAAAAAAACCTGCAGGCAATGCAAGTCTGATCGAAGTGGGATTTTCCCAAACAAAGCAAGCATTTATCGTGGTCATCTGACAAAGGAATTTTGCGGGAGCAGACAGCACACAGCTTGAAGCCCCGAGGGGCCATAAAATAAAAAGGGATCTGTTGATTTGGGGGGGGGGGAAACACGACAGAACAGCAGCAAATTAAATGAGGTAGGTTCTGCTGAATAAACAACAAATAAAATATAAAGGAGATGAAAAAAGACTAGCTAAGCTAGAATACTTAAAGAGATATTCGCTCTGCTCTTCTTAACATCCTACAGGAATGGCGGAAAAAGAGGAACTGAAAGGAAGCTGGAGGTGGTGGAGCTTATATACCCTCGGAGGAGGGGAAGCTTAATTGACTCTTTTTTTTCTAAAGCTCTAGAATCTTCCGGACGTCCTGAGCATGTGCAGGATTAACCCATTTGTGTGCATTCACAGAGACCACTACGAAGAACAATATCTGCCCAATCTTCTGCACTAACCTCATCAAAATGAGAGGTGATAGTTCAGTCTTATGAATTTAGAACTCATTTGTTAAAGGCCGAGGAAAACATTTAACTCCTTGATTTGGTGTTCATTCAAGAATACTGTTGTTTTTAACACTGAAGGTTTAAATTGATGAAACAAAACACATAACTGTAAGGTTATTTTCACAAGTAGAATTTCAACTAAGAGAGTAAGGTGAATACAAGGGAGCAATTGGCAGGGGGGTGACCTAGCTGACCACACACACTGGGGCCTGAGAGATTGAGAGAAGGACCTTTTGGAAGATCTTAAAAACCAGATGGAATTGGGTGTCATCAGCACACTGGTGGTATCACACCACAACATCCTGTACAACCTCTTTCAGGTTTTTCATGCATATGTGAAATTGCATAGAGAATCATGGAACTCTGAAACAGTCCACAGGCTAAAGGTCAAGATGTTGAACAGGCGTTTCCCAGCACCGACTCAATTTTTTTCATCAGTTCACCATTTCTCACCAAAAACAAAGCAATTGTTGGGGCTGTTTTTCAACAAGTGTGAATGGTAGTGAGCAGAAGAGGGTTATCTTGTAGACCATCCTGACTGCTGCCATTGGTTTTGTCAACATTTAGTCTGCCCTTTCCTATGTAAAACTTGGCATTCTTTTTCCTGCTAGCAATGCGGGCACAATATTGTATAGCAATGTTTGGCCATTTCTTGTTTTTTTAAATTTCATGACTTTTTAAAATTGGAGTTTAAATGTAAACTAAACAGAAATTCAATCAGAAATTTCTCTCATATAGAATTACCCAGTGGTAGAGGATTCCAGAAGATAAGCATATAATCTGCATTATGATTACCGGGAGAAAACAGAAGTGAGAACAGCCTGGATGTTCCTTTTTGCCAAAATATGTTATGTTCTAATTTCCAATCCCTTTCTTCAAGTTAGGGAAGCTGAGGAAGAAAAGCTGTATTGGACCAAAAGCTCTATGGATATGTTGTGTGCATGTTTTCCAAAAGATGTCACTTTGCTTTTTGAAAAGGAAGAGGTTGGAATATCACTGGAAATCAAGGTCAAAATCATCCATACTATGTACAAAAGGAAGATCATGAGGAAAAACAGAGGACAAAAATCAAGTCATTTGAAATATACTGTTGGTACAGATACTACCTCTTAGAAGATGAGATAGTGACATCCTGAGGAATGTCTTTTCTGATAAGGTACCTCACTGCACTTATTAAAAGTAATACCTTAATGTCACGTATCAAGCTAACACAGCGTAGACCCCTAATGCATACTAAAAAAACCTTTCAAAGAATAAGAAAAGAGGGGAGGATTTTTTTGACTTTATGTAGATTTAGGATTGAATATCATGCTGGATGGGGTATAAGACAGCTGGTCATCCTTTGTTATGTATGGGTCCTTTGCTGTTCTGGACACCCACAAATGCAGTTGTGATTTTTCTGATTGCTGAGCTCAAAATAAACCACTTTTTCACTTCAAGAAACTCTATGGTCTTTCCTCTGCTTAGTTTTCCTGAGGAGCTGTTCACTTTTTGGAATGGTTTAGAGTGACAGTTGTTTCTGCATGCAGGGTAAAAACAGCATTACTTTTGAAAAAGTAATTCAAAAAACTTTTGCCCAAATGTCCCCAAGTTTGACAAAGAGCAGGAGCAGACTTCTCCCACTGTATCAAATTTGGTGCTGATCTGATGCCCAGTTTTTATGTTAGAATTTTTTGTTTTGACCGCCATATTTGTTAGAGTTAACTGGTAGAGTGTACTTTTTTTAAAAAATGTGCAAATATCATGAATGGGTTCTCACTCATAATACCCTGCTTAACACAGGAAATGGAACACTAACTGTAATAGTGATCACCCCTGGTATGAATATTCAGCAGTGTATTTGGATGTACCAATTAGAGCTTTTGGGAGGCAGAGCCAGAGAAAATAGAAGGGAGGGGGGAGTCAGAGTCTAGGGAGTTCAGTCAGATAGAGTTTTGAAGGAAAAGTTTTGGGGTTTGAGGCAAAGAGAGAGAGAGTTTAAAGTAAAATACCGAAGCTTTGTGTAACTTTAAGAATGTGCTTAAGAACTATTCCTAAAACAACTTTTAATTAATAAATCTGTTTCTGTTTAAAAGTTCAGTACTGAATGGACCTGAGTCTTTCATAGGAAATAAATATAGGTTGATAAAGAGATCAACTGGTGGCAGCATGTTAAAGGGCACGTTGAGATACTTGTGTGAGCTCTGTGGTTGGTGAAACAAGCAGGGGTCATAGGGTAAACGCCACACTAACCAATCAGCATTAAGTGGGGCAGTTTATTGTGCCTTAGAGGATAAGGCACTCTTGCCAGGAAGAGGAAGAGTATGACACACATACAGAACAGGTAAAAAGCCATAGAGATTTTGCTAGGGCCGGATTTACTTGAACACCTGCAAATAAGCAGCAAAATACAGAAACCAGGAATTCATGCTTTAACATTTAACATTGGCTGTCCATGATACTAGTATTCTCCTTCCAATCCATGTAGGCATTAAATTGTACCTGTAAACCATATATTAATTTCTGTATGTATGCATATAGAATGAAAGAAATTAACAGCTAGAACTCTCCCACCCCAAATGAAACTGAATTCTTCATGACTGATCAGGAGACTGTTTTGTTAAGAACCAGGATTTATTTGAAGAATCACTTGTTTAGGATCAAATTCAAAATTTAAGCCTTTATCCTTAAAGCAGCGGTCCTGAACCCCCGGGCTCCATACTGGTCCCAGTCCGTGGCCTTGGAAGGACCGGGCTGCTGAGATGATTTTCAAGGGCCAAAAGAACATACGCATATGCGTGTGAACACTCCTGCCCACCTGCATGCACACACTCCTGCACATACCTGCCTGCCCCTCCACACACACTTACGCCCCCCTGTCTCCCAGATGTATGCCTGCACCCCCGCCCACCTAGCCAGACATTCTCCTGCACCCTGTACGCATGCACGGATGCTTGCCCCCCCCCGTCCTTGGGAGAATGGACTCCAACTAAACCTCCAACTAAAGGATCTGCAGCTACAGAAACCAAAGTGGGTGATCCACATTACATGTGAAACCCTGTCAAGTCAGAAGAATATTTTATTCAAAAGACATTACCGTTAATGTTGTCACAGTAGTAAAAGTGTTCGTGATTTAGAGAAGGGCACACTGAGACCAACTCTTGCAGGCCTTCACCTGTTACAGTCAAGCATCCAGACAGATTGAGATGTTCTAGACGAGGAAGCCCACCTCCCAGAGTCAACATCCTAGGATCAGAAACAAAAGTAAATTTAAGACTATGCCACAAGTGGTCTACAATCAAGAGTTAGTTTAGAATGGCTTCACTATAGCACAGAGTTGGGCAACAAGCAGCCCACATGGGGCCCAAGAATTCACTGTCAGCAGTTACAAGGCACCCAAAACTCTAAAACTTATATGTGCTTTTTGTTTTAAAAGGATGACTTTTAAGTCCTGTCTTCTAAGTAACACAAGGTAAATTCTGCCATGTTTTGAAAGGCAACCTTCCCAGGGCCATGAGAAACGCCCTCAATTGCTATTTTAAATTTTGGCCACAAGACAGCTCAACAAAACTTTTGTCATAGCTTTCCCCCTGGTTTTGTAAGAAAAAAATGGAGGGGAGCTACAGGAAGAGATACAGTCCTAAAATGTCCAGGGTTGGGAATGTGGGGCCCCTGTTCCACTGGACGTTACACACACATGCTGCAGCACTTATTAACTTTGTTAAAGCTTAAGATTTTTCATGTGAAGGGAATATGAGACTGCTGCCATCCATATCATGGACAAGCTACATAGTTCAGTCCAGTGGTGAACCCAGAAGACATGGGAAATGGACTATAGAGAGAAGCAAAACAGTTCTTCCAGTTTTAAAAGAGCAAAAATGCCCTCATACAGTTCCTGCCTCATACGCTATCAAGGCTATCCAGATATCACAGCTTTTAAAATACAGTGAAATCTCGAGTTTTTCTAAAACTGCAGGTAAACCTGCCCATTCATGGTAGATGAGAAACTATTTCAACATTGATTCCAACTATCAAGGAATCTACAATATACCATTCAGTACCTTACATACTGTTTCTGAGAAGCCCTTATACTCTACCAAGGAGGAGCAACAGTGAAGTTTAAAAAATGCACAACACTTAAAGTGTTGAAGAGTATGGATATATAGTGTCATTGCATCACATAGGCATCCTTCAGTCTCGAGAGACTACGGTAACATGCTCTGAATCGAGGAGTGTCCTCTCCAGAGCATGAAGCCCGGGTAAGGTAATATGGAGCAGATCCCCCCTCTCCACATTGCTGAAATGGTCCAATGGAAAGGCAAGAGCCAATACAACTGGTTCCAGCAATGTCGCAGGAGTTGGCAGAACGACACATGCTGCCTTCGGGACTCCAGCTCCGGATTTTGCCTCGAGGTTACCTCCTGAAGCCTTTTCCTTGAGTGGATATAGCCACAAGGCAGTGGAGGTTTGAAATCAGAGTTTTCCTTCTCCTAGATGGGCTGCCTTCCATGGCTGACGAGCCCCACCTATCCGGCCTACTCTTTAATAGTGCGAAAGTATGGTCTGACGCCTAAAACTTTCCTGCCTCCCAAGCTTATGCAAATCTAATTGGCTTTCCTATTTACCATATTAAGGCCATAGATAGAATTTGAGAAAGCCCAGGGGAAAAAAAACTCAGCAAGGCATCCATGCAAATAAACCTGGCCTTCGCCCTCAGCCCAGCTTCCTAGGGAAAAGGGTCCAGGGTCCTGGGACACGCTCTTTTAAAGCAGAAAGTCCTACCCCTAGGCCCCACCCCCAGGCCATGTGGTAAGGAGACAAAAAGAAAGCCCAGGAAAAAAAAAACTCAGCAAGGCATCCATGCAAACATACCTGTCATTGCATCAATAATCCTATAAGGCAAATAACTACAATTGTTCACCATATTACAGATGGGGACTGAAACTGAACTAGCTTTCCTCACAACAGGAGATATAGAGGTGTGGGAGAGGATACTCATATAATCAGAATGACAAATTGATTTGTGTCTCACTTTTATCCATATTGTTCAACCTATCTGGTGTTACATCAAGTTATATGAAGATCCTAAACAGTGTAAATGTCTAATGCCTAGTAAATGAAAAATAGGCATGATACATTCTTAATATCTGTGCAATCCGATTTTCAGCAATGGGAATGACATTTTTTCTCTTACCTTTGCACATAACATGTACTTGATCAAAAGCAGCCAAATACAGCATTGCCACTATTCTGCAAACATCTTCAATTAAATTACAATGGAAGAACTAATAGTTCTTTAAATTCTTTAATTTTAAACCACTCACTTTCACAGGCATTTTGAAACAAAATTCACTCTGCTGCACAAAGACTTTCTCCACTTGAAACAGTCAATGAATTGCTACCACCAGACTTAGCATTTTAAGAAATGACGAAATAAAGGGACAGCTGCATTATTGTGTGCTTTGGGTTTTTTTATAAGACTGCACTGATCAGCTGCAGCAAAGGCTTCAAAGGGGCTACATACCTGAGACCACTGTCTGTTATCTGATAACATCCTGATAGACTCAGAAACTGAAGAACTCGTGCAGTCTCTTGTTCTGATTTTATACTCCTGGTGTGTGCCAAGCCTTTTGTCTCTGACAGTTTAATAGTCCTTGGTGCACATTTAGATCCTGCAAATGCCTGAATAGTTCTTAATGCTGTTCCAGCACAACAGAACGAGTGGCCACAGTAGGTCAAAGCAGCAGAAGCACAATGCTGCTGCCAGCATATACTAGTCCTTAACCCAAAAATGTCTTTGCTGCAGCATGATGCAGAACAAGCGAAACTGGATGCTTGCTCTACCATACAAACTCCCTCCGTATTCCTGTGTTTCCACTCTGCAGCATCTTCAATATCTGCTAGGTCTTCTGCATCTAACATCCAAATATAGGTAGAGTTAAAACTCTCTGATCCAATGGGTGCTTTCCAATGGCTTTCAGTTCCTTCTCCCTTTATCACAAACTCATTTGTGGTATCATGCAAGCCGCAGTCCTTTTTGTTAGCCTGCAAGGTAACATCGTTGTTTCTCCACACTGTTTTTCCACTCCTGTTTTGACAGATTTTCTGAGATCCTGCTTCAAAGGACAACAGAATTCCCAAGGCTCTGGAAATCTTCCTTACAGCCACATCTGTGATTTTCTCACATCCAGAAAGATCAAGATGTCGGAGATTCTGGCAGCAACCAACCCAAGACCAACTGAAACAAACATCAACATCTTAGCTGAATGATACTTACTTTTCAAACAACCCAATATGTTTAAGGTACAGCAAACAGAATATTCAGGTTCAAAACTTAAAACAGTCATTTCCTCAACCTACACATTTAGGCCAGTAAGCTATTCCTTTAAAAAGGAACAAAGGAAAAATCATGTAAACACACCAACCCAACTCTGGCAGGTACCACATTGTGACCAATATCACAAACACTGGAAGAAGCAATATGTGACAAGAAAATAAGATAACACTAATGAGATTTGCTGTCTGTTGCATGTTTCAGGATACCAGCTACAAATGCAAATTTCGTACTAATGGTGGACTCAGGAAGATATGATGGAGTACACCATATAGATGAGCTACTTACCTATAACCATAGTTTTTTTAGTGGTCTTCTGTGAATTCACACATGTGGGTTGTTCCGTGCCTGTGTGGTTGACCTTGGAAACATCCAAAGCCTAGGCAGAAGAAAGAGTAAGCCACTCCCTATTAGAGTGCATGCTCTCCCATCCTAGATAGCAATCTCAGTTCGCTGAGCCTGCTACCATCTCCTGAGGACTTTTTCATGTGACAGGCTGAGGGGAGGGTGGGAGGGTTGCGTGAATTCACAGAAGACCACTTGAAGAAACTATGGTTATAGGTAAGCAACTTGTCCTTCTTCACTGTAGTCTCTGAATCACAAATGTGGGTGACTAGCGAGCCCACTTACCATCTGATGACACACTTTAACAGAAGATATAACCATTCTGCTGAACACAGTGCTTTGTTTGGCACAAACCCTGAGATAGTAATGGTGCACAAATGTTGATGGCTGAGCCCATGTGGCTGCCTGACAGCCATCCCTGAGGTGTATGTCCCGAAGGAATGCTGTGGAGCTTGACACTGCTCTTGTGTAATAACCCTTCGGGGGGTGGGGTGTCTTCTGTGAAAAAACTTGTTTTTTTTTTAAACCGAGAATGGCCCCAATATACTGAATGGATCGTGCTGACACAAGCCTGGACTTCTGCAGATTGACACAGAACCACAGTAGGTCCAGCGTGAATTGAATGTCCTGTTCAGCCTTTGCCTTTGAGTCCACCACAGTTGGGCAATTGACAAAATAGAGGAGAAAACTATATTCTGTAGCCTGAGGAAGGCTGCTATGGGCACTAGGCACTTCATGAATACCCAGGATGCCATAGTCAGTCCATATAGGAGGGTTGTGAATTTGCAGATGTGGCTTCCTACTGTGAATTGCAGGAAGCTACAAAGACAAGGGTTGGTCATGATATGAAAATAGGCATCCTTTAAATCAGTCACTGCAAACCCATCTCTCTTTCTGAGCAGCAGAAGAATGGTTTGCAGTGTGACTATCTAGGATGTCTTGGTCTTTATGTAAAGATTTACAGTATATCACAGGTGAGTACACCCCCTCACATTTCATAAATATTTTAGCATATCTTTTCATGTGACAACACTGAAGAAATGACACTTGGCTACAATGTAAAGCAGTGAGTATACAGCTTGTATAACAGCGTAAGTGTGTTGTCCCTTCAAAATAATGCAACACATAGCCATTAATGTCTAAACCACTGGCAAGTATGAGTGCCGAAGGAATAGGCACATGTGCGCATGTACGCGCACACACCCACCCCCCTTGTTAATTTCTTCTTCATTGCTTGAATTGTGGTGGAGGGCAGTAGCGAGAAGTATTGGGAGCAATATGGAATCTGTGAATTGTACGGCCATCTTCATAGTTTGACTATGATTTGTCTGATAACAGTATTTGCTGAATTAAAATTGTTCTCTCACAAAAATGACATAGAAGGTGTCTGCAGCATTGTTCCTATTTACTTCCCTAATTTTTCCAGTGGTTGTATTTGTTTTGTATCCTTTGCTTATTTTGTAGTATTTCTTTATCTTGCAATATTTATTAAAATTTCTTGTACTTAGATGCCACTGGTCTAAGCTTCAGCATCCAAAATCATGATGCTGTCCAGTCGCCAGTGAGAGATGAAGATTAATATTTATTCTCCACATTCTTCCTTGAAAGAAAGGAAAGGAAAGAAAGAAAGATGTGAGGCTTATGAACAGTGATTCTAGATGCTTCTTCACTTCATTAAAATAGGATGACAGAGAGAAATGGGGAAAAGCTGGAAATGATGCCAAGTTAATTTTAAATATAGTTTATATGGTTTCCTAACTATGTGATCAGAGCAGGTGAGTGATACGCATGGAATACTGGTAAGAAAGGTAATGATTGGCTGGGAGAAAATTAGATAAGGAGGGTGTGTGTTCAATCTGACAGAACAGTCTGATGTGGAGACATCAGGGAGAGGAAGATTTTAGAATCTGGGGTCTGAGAGAAGTATTAATATACAAGCAGTCAAGTGTAAGATGGAGGAGAACATGTGTTAGGAATCTTGGATTTTAAGGTGATGTCTGCGCAGGGGAGGGAAGAGGAAATAAATACAAGATTGTGCTGAATCCTAGAAGTGTGATGATTGTATACTGCCCCATAGTACTTAAAGCACTCTCCGGGCGGTTTACAAGTTAATTATGTAAGCTACACATTGCCACCCCCATCCCACAGTGAGCTGAGTATCCATTTCACCGACTTGAGAAGGATGGAAGGCTGAGTAAACTTCGAGCTGACTACTTTGGATTGAACTCTGGGTTGTGAGCAGAGTTTGGCTGCTGAACATTCTTTTTAAAATTGTTATTTTAAATAAAAACTTATCTGTTCTGTTCAAATTGTGGTTCAATGTGTGAGAGCTGCCTATGTGGCGGGTGTTTTATGAGCTTGAGTGAAGGGTTAAACATACACATACTATTATAGGAACAGCTAAAGGTTGCAGGTAATGAAAGAGGAAGAGAGGAAATATTAAAGAAAACACATTTATCTCTGTGGGGATTTAAGGAGACAATTACCTCACTAGCCAAGTGACAAAACAAAGGGAGGTTAAACATTGGTAACAGAGAATCATAGAATCAGAGAACAATTGAACTGAAAGATGCCTATGAGGCCATTGAGTCCAACCTCCTGATCAATGCAGAAATCTACATCAAATCAGATGTGACAGATGCCAGTCCAATTTTCTCTTGAATGTCTCTAGCACAGGAGTGCACACCACTTCCAATTTATTTATTTATTTATTCAATTTCTATACTGTTCATCTGGCTACAAGGCCATTCTGGGTTGTTCACAACATAATTATTAGTTCCACTGTCATACTGTTCTAACAGTTTAGCTGTTGTTCCTGATACTCAGTCTAAAACTGTAACTGGAGCCTAGAGAAATCAGCTGCATGGCAGCACAGCTGCTGGATGTTCCCTGCCTCCCTTGTCGAAACTTCTATTCCACCAGCTGGCATGTGTCGCTCCTTCCTTCCAAGTTGTATGTCCCCCATCTTATAACTGTGTGTTTGGTTTCTTTTGCTGAGGTGCAGTACTTTGCACCTATCCCTATTGAATTTCATTCTGTTGTTTTCAGCCCAGTGCTTTGGTCCATCATGATTACTTTGAATTTTGTTTCTGTTTTCCAGGATATTAGCTATTCTATCCAATTTTGTGTCATCTGCAAATCTGAGAAGCATTCCCTGCATTCCCTCATCCAAGTCATTAATAAAAATGTTAAAGAGCACCAGACCCAGGACTTTGTTCTGGAGTGCCCCACTTGTTACCTCATCCCAGCTGGAGAAGGAGCCATTAATCATCAGCCTCTGAGTACGATTCTCTAGCCAACTGTGTATCCACGTGATACTTGACCTATCCAGCCCACACCTAGTTAGCTTGCTAATCAGGATATCATGGGGTACTTTGTCAAAAGCTTTGTTGAAGTCAAGATATACAATGTTTACAGCATTCTCTGTCTGTCAGGGAGGTTACCTGATCAAGAACTGAGATCAGATTAGTTTGGCAGGATTTGTTTCTGACAAATCCATTATAGCTTCTAGTTATTACTGCACTGTTGAAGATAGGAACAATCTTCCAATCATCTGGCACCTCACCCATTTCCCATGATTTCAACAGAATAATGGACAGCAGTTCTGAGAGTTCTCCAGAGCCGAGGTAGCTGGAGGAGGAGGAGAAAGCACTGCCGGGTGCTGAGGCGGCGGCTGGCGGGGCTGGTGCTGGGGGTGCCGAGAGAGAAAGAGAGCCCAAGAGCTGCTTCCCTGGAAGAGGTGGCGGCAGCAGCTGATGGCGGCTTGGAGGCGCTCTTCAAGGACGGGCTGGGAGCAAACTCCAATCTCAGGCATTACTCGGCGGTGGCTCAGGCGCTTGAGGAAAAGGGACGGCAGTCCGCCTTGCTCGCCAGCTGTCCCCTAGAACAGCGCCTCTTGCGCCCTCCATCCGGAACTGCAGCCTGCCAGCTGGCAGGCAGGCGCGCTGGCTGGGAGGCTGCAATTCTGGATGGAGGGTGCAAGAGGCGCTGTCTTGGGAGACAGCAGGCGAGCAAGGAGAGGCTTTTTTTGACTCTTGACAGCAGAGTATGCATGGGCACTTCAGGGGGGCAGGCAAGGCAGGGGTCACAAACTATCATCCAGCAGGCTGCAAATGGCCCCCGAGCCACATGTTTGAGACCCCTGTGATAAGATATTCCTTCAGCATTTGTTTTATCATTTTCCAGCAGTCCTGTCCCCTCCTCTTGCTCTTCACATTTGTGTGGAGGCTCATAGTCTGTCCTATGCAAAAAGATTGAGCTAAAATACGAATTGAGCACCTCTGACTTTTCTTTGTAATCTATCATTTTTTCATCTTCATTGAGTAGCTATGCTCAATTTCTATTCTTTGTCTTTTGCTTCGCACATACGTGAATAATGTTTTACTTCTTTTAGTGTGTCTAGCTAATCTCAGCTCATTCACAGCTTTTCCTCTAATGCTGTCCCTGCATTTCCTTGCTACTTATCTGTACTCTTTCTTGGTGACCTGGCTTCCTTTTCACTTCCTATACATGTCTTTTTTTTAATTTTCAGGTCATCTCTTAGCTTTTCGTGACACCAC